TTGTAGTCCCTTTGGGTACTGCAAGATGCTCTAAGGCAACCCTAGAGCCTTCTCTTCTGAATGAACAACCCAAATTCTCTAAGCCTGTCTTCATAGGAGAGGTGTTCCAGTCCCTTGATTATCTTCATGACCTCCTCTAGATCTTCTCCAGCAGGTCCATGTCCTCCTTATGCTGAGGGCCTCAGAGCTGGATGCAGCACTCCAGGTGGGGTGTCATGAGAGTGGAGTACAGGGAAAGAATCCTCTCCCTTGACCTGTTGCCCACGCTGCTGTTGATGTAGCTCAGGTTTGGTTGGCTTCCGGGGCTGCAAATGCACATTTTACAAGTCATGTTGAGCTTCTCATCCATCAACACCCTCATGTCTTTCTCCTCAGGACTGCTCTCAATCTTTTCATCCTCCAGCCTGTATTTGTGCTTGGGACTGTCCCAATGGAGGTGCAGGATCTCATACTTGATCTTGTCGAACTTTGTGGGCTTTGCATGGGTTCCACCTCTCGAGGTCCCTTCCCTGCAATGTGTCAACCAGGCTACACAGCCCAGTGTTGTCGGCAAACTTGCTGAGGGTGCACTCAATCCCACTTGCCCATGTCATTGACAAAGATGTTAAACAGCACCAGTCCCAACACCAATCCCTGAGGAACACCACTTGTCATATTCTCCCACTTGGACATCGAGTCGTTCACCTCAACTCTTTGAGTGCAACCATTCAGCCATGAAAGGAACAAGTATAGTTTACTAGCAGTGTTACAGCCCAAACAGTAAACACCTATGAGGAGCGGCTGAGGGCACTTGGTCTGTTCAGCCTGGAGAAGAGGAGACTGAGGGGAGACCTCATTGTAGTCTATAACTTCCTCATGAGGGGAAGAGGAGCAGCAGACACTGTTATCTTCACTGTGGTGACCTGTGACAGGACCTGAGGAAATGGCCTGAAGTTGTGTCAGAGGAGGTTTAGGTTGGATATTAGAAAGAGGTTCTTTACCCAGACGGTGGTTGGGCACTGGAACAGGTTCCCCAGAGAAGTGGTCACAGCACCAAGCCTGACAGAGTTCAAGGAGCATTTGGACAATGATGCTCTCAAGTATGTGGTGTGATTCTTGGGGATGGTCCTGTACAGGGCTAAGGATTAGATTTGATGATCCCAGTGGATCCCTTCCAACTCAGCATATTCTGTGATTCTGTGATATGTACTATGATCCTGACCCTTTGCAAGTCCACAGAAAGCTCCTGTATGTTTTAACAGGAAGTTTCTCTTAAGAAGTCACCTGAGGACACACTAAAGTATTGGCCAGCCAGTGTCTGTCACAAAGAGACATTTTAAATCTCTTCATATTTATCTGCATTTCATACAATTTGCTACACACATATGAGTAGGAACCTTTTATATATGACAAACCTCCTCAGAATGCCAGAGGAAAGCTTGGTTTAATTTATTAAGATGGTTAGGATTAAGTAGGTAGTGTAGACCTAACCTAAAATCCATAGTTCTCTGCCTACTTATTTCTGTAAGGTGGAAGGTTGGAATTGGCACAGGCTTTTAGTAGTAGAGAAGATGGAACCATTAGACAGACAGCTGAACAGAGAGAGACACAGATCAAGAAATTGTGATCACTGGGCTAGGAAGTAAAAATTTAGTTTTATTTTTAATAAAAATTCCTTTAGCAAGAATTGCATTTTCTGATGTTTTTCATTTGTTAAAAGTAATATCAGCCAGCAAGAAATTCTAAGGTTTCATGGATGGGTGGAGATCTCAACACACTCTGCATGAGATGAATGAAGCAGAACAGAAATTGGCAAAACAGGGTTATTAACTTTGTTATTTAATATTCATAATAGATTGATGCTCCAAGAATCTAGGCAAGTTCATTCTGCAGTAGTTTTTCAGCTTAGTCTTTTTTCAGCAAGTTTAAGCTCTGCAGGCCTGACCTTACTGTCTAAACAAGACACTGGAATGTCTATGGCTTAAAGAAAGTTTAAGGTAAAAAGAGAAGATTAAATCAAGTACACAGCTTTCAGCCAGTTTGAGTTTCAGCATGAAGCTTTCCAGGTGTGAGGACACAGGGAAACCATCACATGAATTAGAATGATTTTGACATTGGTGGGAGGACATTGACAGTAAGTTTGAAACCAGTCTTCCAAGGATCTTAGAAAGGAGCAGAAGGAGTCGAATATGCAGGAAATATTTTTGGGAATTCTCCAGTTCTCTAAAGCAGGAGAAGAGAGAAAGAATTTAAAGCAGGAGAAGAGAGAAAGAATTTAAAGCAGGAGAAGAGAGAAAGAATTTAAAGCAGGAGAAGAGAGAAGGTGACACATTGTGGGAGTTGGTTATGTGCCAGAGGAGAATGGTTCTGTTCTGTAGGACATCAAGTATCTGCTTTGGATAGCTGCATCTCAGCCCTGGATGTACCCATGCCTGGAATGCCAAGTTAGTTTTAACAGCTAAAACTGCTTTAAATACCCCATAAAGGGAAAATTCCACACAAATTTTCATGGAAGGAGAATAATTTCAGTTGTTTTATTATTTAAGAACTTAGAGGGAAACAGAAGCTTGTACCTGTCATCGAAGAGCAAGTCCAAGCCAATAATCTTTATTTTTCTTTCTCTGATCTTATTGCTTGAAGACCTCTTCCAAACTTCTCAAACTCATGGCCCCTAGAGCATGGATTTTTAAGGTTTTTCAGCATTAGACACCTTCCTAATTGCAGCTGCTTGATCATATTGATGCCTCCTGACAAATTTATGTATGAATCTTACAAGTGGCATATTCTTCATTCTGGCATTTTCTGAATACGCTTCTGTTCTGAAAACAGTTTCAGAGCTGAGTTACAGTTTAGAGGAGAAATGTTCTTCAGTAAGAAAAACAGCAACTTCAAAGCAATGTTTTGTTTTTATTTAGTCCTTTCTTCAGGAGATTCACTCGTGCTTGTTTAACTTCCTCTTTTTGTAGACTCCATTTCAAAGAACGATGATAGCTTCAAATTTAGAGTGGATTCAAAAGGGTGGCAGAGGGGTGGGGAAGGTATCTGGGCTGATAAAAAGAGTTTTGCCTTCCTGGCTTTTTAACTCAGTAAATTGAACATCTTCTATTGTTTTTGTCATATTTCAAATGAAATTGGAGCTGTTGAGTTTATATTTCAGTGAAGGACTGAACGACACAGCATTTATACTTAAAAAAGAGTTTCTGCTGTGCTTTGAACCATTTGTTGCTTTCTATTTTCCCACAGGAGAACCGACAAAATACTTGGTGTGGCATTCCTTGTGTGCAACCTCCTCTCTGTTTTGAAAGTTTGCCTTTCCATTTTGATGTTCTATAACACTTTAATTCCATAGACCTTTCTTTCTAGACTAGACTCTTTTCTAGACAGTACACTCCATTGTCTAATTTGTGTAACTTTATGCAAGAGCAGTTTCATACTAGAAGTTGCTTTTGGAAATGCTTAGGGACACACAGAGCTGTGAGTGACATTTTCTCATTCTAATTGTACTGTTTTCTAGACATTCTCCATGAATTTAGACTTTTTTTTTTTTCACTCATGTTCTCTGCATAAAATTTGTGAGTCAGAATAGACTGAGGTCAGAATACAGTTCCTAAGAATAATGTATCTGTTATTAATCAACATTAGAAAGTAAATGAAATTATTTTCAGATATTCTTACTTTCTGCAGATTTTGTTAATTTTGTTCTTTCATATGACATTTAGCCTGAACTGTAAGGACATTGCTGGCTACTCACCCAGGTACATATGGTTTTTTTAACACTGTCTCCTGTCCTTGGGCTGGAATACACCTTTAGCAAGAATGAAGGAGTTTTCCTCAGTAACAGTGTTTGAGGAGTTCTATAATCCCCTACTACAAGTATTCATTTATTTCCACTAGCATGTGTTCCATCCCAGTAAGGCCAAGTGAGCTGTAGTCTCCAACATCCATTAAAGGAGTGCTCCTTTTGACCGGTATTTTTTATAGGCAGTTCTAAAACCTTTACAGCTCCGGCTACTTGAAATTGAAATACCAACAAAAATATTCTCAGAAGGTAAAAACAGAAATTAAACTTTTTAAGACCTACTTGTATGCCCAGTTTCTATTTTATGACAAGAACGTTCTGCTTTTTCAGTTTCATATATGAAACTGGTTTTGATAGTGTGTCAGCATTTGGTACTTGAAGTTTTACTATAACACTTTTATTCATTCAAACCAGGAATTTTTAGATAAAAAGAAAATTTTGCTAGTATAAAAGAAAAAGTTGATTTTATTTGCAAAGTCATATTTATAATTAGACAGCATGGAAGGGAAAAATAAGCCATTAATTATTATTAAATACATATCCTCAGAAACACAAATATAAGATTGCTTATTTCTATACTAATCAGTTTGTAGTTTTAACTATCCAATGCTCATATAAGCATTAAGATGCCAGTATCAGTTGGAATGTGTGTTAAAACATTGCAGCATTTAGGACAGAAAACTTAAATCATTCCCTAAAAGTGCAAAAGGGATTTCCAGAATGAGGAATAAGGTGTGGATGGGGTCAAATAACTCACCCGCAGGCATACAGGAAGTCTCTGTCACGGCTCTCAGCTGAACCTGGTTCTGCATGCCAAGTGTGTCCTTCACTCATAGAGCTTTGAGTCTGCATTTATACCAGCCATTACACATTCAAATAAATGCAGTGTGAAGTCCCATATATATATAGATATTCGGTTCTCACATTGCATATTCAGAGAAACACACATTTATTATTAGTGTTGATAATGAGATAATAAGCTGTCATGGGGGATTGTGATGAGCAGCATCAAGGCAAGCCTATTGCTAGCATCCACAGTGGAATTTCTGCCAGGGAAATGTAATGAGGAATACTAGGGGAAAAAAAGAAAAGAAGCAACAGCACCTGGTAGTGTGACGGGTGTGTGGGCTGGGAACACTATCTTGGGAGATCAGCAGTTCTGCTTGTAGACATGCAAAGTTTAACCTGTCATTTATTTTTTTTGGTAGTTTTCCTTTTGAAATGAATATTATGCTCATAATAGGTGCCAAACTGACAACCCTTAAGATTGAAGTTCCTTCTTTCAAAATCAATCGTAGTAAGCAGCAGCAACAGAAGCTTTTCCAGACGTGCCTGTCAATAAGTCTCCACCTTGGCCAGGAAAAGATGGAAAATAGTTAAAGTTCATATTTATTCTCTTTGTTTTATCTGTTAGCAAAGGGACTTTTGTTGCTACTTTTATTCTTTCTACTTTCACTTTGGAAATGATTTGGGATCAACATGTTTGTCTTTGGTTACTAACGAGCCCTAAAGAGGAGAAACATTTGATTGTCTTTATGTCATCTTGTGATTGATAAGTGACCCCAACTTTAACACTAACTGTGTACACCATCATTTACTAGGCAGTAATTAAGTTCTGAAGGGTCTTAAATGCCTCATAAGGAAACATTTAATGGAAAAACTGAAAGAAACAAACTTATTATACGTCTAAATACCAGAGAATGTACCTCAATGTGTGTAGCTTTCTTATTTCATCCCTTAATGCTCTTTTTTCTCTTACTTCATAAAATATTGGCCTCCAGTCCCTGAATTCCATGAAAGCTGTCTGCTAAACTCCTGCTGATCTGCCTTTCTGTAGGGCAGCTGAGTTATCTGATTTCCAAGTGTGGTTTATTCTGGTCATAATAGAAAACAAGACAGGATAAAAACCTCCAGGATGTGCCTATTTCCTTCCTCTGCTCTGTGGAAGTATCAATTCTGTCTAGTCTATTCCTGATGGATATTGCCTAAGATGATATGAAAAGCTTCCAAAGAATGAAGTGTCTTTAGAGCAGGAATGACCTTCCATAAAACACTGTACCATTAAATATAACCAGTGTACTGGGCAAGACAGGCAACCTTAATGGTGTGAGTGCTATCAAATAATTTCCTCACTAGCGTGTGAAGGATTAGTCAAAATAGTTTTTCCTATTTTACTGGAACTGGGATTGTCAGTCTCCTAGGAAAATTAAACCCCAACTTTCAGTTACATTTTATTGGGCTTTCAACTATATGAGTTCCTTTATCCTAATTTAAGGCTTTACTTGTCTCACAAAGATACAAATATATAGCAGCATGTGAAGACAGAGGCTGAGGTTAGATAAGGGTCAGACAGCAAAAAAGCAGGAATGAGGTAGTGGTGATCTTCTTAAGTTAAGAGTTGTAAAATGGGAATGTGATATTGGTTCATCACCTCTGCCTCATCCATCAAGTGTGTGCTGAGCTACGAAGAAACTTAGATGCATCCAACCTAGGACTGAGAAGAACTTCTGGACATAGTGGAGCTGAAAACTAAGGATGGGTTTTCTCTGTTTCATGGGAGCTGGAGGCCAATGGCTACACTGAAATTCAAGCAGCTGTGAAAGGCGAAGTGAAATCTGACTCACCTGTCCTGTGAGTTACTGTTCTTTATCCTGTGCCTGTGACTCTTAACTTCTGTATCCTCACAGAGGAGAAATCCCAAAGGAAGGACAGCACACAGGCTTTCATCAACCACAAATCTCTTTCAAACCACAGTCTCTTCCACTGCTTCAATAAATCACATCAACAACCAGTTACCTATTCTCCTCTAGAAACCAACACTGGCAGAAATCGGGTCGTTAGGAAATCCGCAGAACACAAATCTGTGGAACAGGAGCATTCCTGAAAGGGAGCCAGACCACAAGGGAATTAAATGCCAAAAAATCAGAGCTAGCTGTCTCAGTACAAAACTTATTTTTTAATATAAGATTTACCACAAAAGAGATGAAGTTACTGACAATCTCTTGAAAACCACCCAAGAGAACCTGTGTGGAGGAATGGATGGTGGAAGGGGAGGATTAGAATGCTGACGGGCTCTGTGGGCAGTGTTAAATATTCCTTCTGATTATGACATTGTAAATGTGACTAAATTAGAACTGGTGGTATGGGAACAGGTACTTGACAGTCACTCTGCCTTTCAGTTCTTTAGGCTTTTTTGGTCAGAGAAAATGCTCAGTTTATGTCTGAAATGTACACAGAGTTTTGTCTCGAACAAATATCATAGACTTATATGTTACATTTTTAAGTAAAATAAAAAAGAAGCAAAATACAAAACAGTCAACCCCCAAAACTCTTCCTAAACTCTCGTAATGTATTGCCCTGGGAAAGCCTGTCAGGCTGTTTAACACCTTTGTTGCTTGATCCTGGGAGCTCAATTTATTATTTACTGATCCTTCTCCTGTCGCTGGCCATGACCACATATCTGCTTATATTATTCCTAGCAGGTTTTCCAGCACACATTTGTTCAAAAATCAATCCCTTCCTAGATCCATCATTTCTGTCCTGCTTTTGGGTGACATGTCTCAAGTGCTAATCTGCTGGTGGCAGCCTAATGCTATTTACAGTAGCGCCTGCTTTTGCCACATGAGGAAAGAAAGGCTTTCTCGTGTTTCTTCAGCCAAAGCACTGTAATAAATAGATGGCATGGACAAATAAACACATATATCTCTCCAACAGTACAGAAGTTCCCTGTGGTACATTCATTTATGTTCTGTAAATTTTCACATGGGTTCACCATTCCTCTGGGAAGACGGTTCTTCAAAATACCAATTCATCAGTATTTGTTTGAATTGCTGTCATTTTATGCTACCTTGAGCCCACTTTCATCCTATTACTTATACTCTTAAGTGATATTCTAAATAATTCTCATCTTCGTGTTGCTTATTTCTCTCTATATTTCTCAATATATGAATTTTGAGTTTTATTCATCTTTCTTATTGTTAATTTATAGTTTAAAGATTTTAAGGTATGCTTTTAGGTAACTCTTTTGATGGTATTTCTTTTTCACACTTAAATGTGAAGTCATATCCCAGAAGTATGGAGAATGATGTTTATGTAAGCACTGGCCTATTTTTCTGCCGTATCTCATTACAAGCTACTGTACGGTTTTTTTACCTTTCTTAGAACGGGCCCTTCCAAATTGTTCATCTCTCAGGTAGTATTGAATAGTTACCTTTTTGATTTTGTGAATTTACCGTTCCAGTTCTGTTCTATTTTAGTAGAATCATGAAATCATAAAATCATTTACTTTGAAAAAAACCCTAAGTTCATCAAGTCTGACAAATAACCCACCACTATCATGTTCACCACTCCCATGTCACTCTACATCTATATATCTTTTAAATGCCTCCAGGAGTGGTGATGCAACCATATTCTTGGGAAGCTTATTTGAATGCCTGACAGCCCTTTTGGTGAAGAAACTTTTCCTAGGAAATATTCCTAGGAATGTCCAATCTTTTGGCCATTTCCTCTTGTCCTGTCACTTGTTACCTGAGAGAAGAGGCCGACCCCCTCCGTGCTACAACCTCCTGTCTGGTAGCTGTAGAGAACCTCTTTTTCTCCAGGCTAATCACCCCCAGCTCCCTTAGCTGCTCCTCATCAGACTTGTGCTCCAGACCCTTCCCCTGCTCTGTTGGTCTTCTCTGGACACGCTCCAGCACCTCAATGTCTCTGTGTGTGGGGCCCAGAACTGGACACAGTACTCAAGGTGTGGGCTCACCAGTACCAAATCCTATCCTCGTTTTCCTAGGCACTTAATTCAGGTAATTTTGATCCATTTTCACATTTTCTCTGATGTTCGCAGTTTACTTACTGAGTTGTCAGGCTAATATTGTGCTAAGTTTTGCAAACATAAATGAAAAGCAGGTCTTACCTTAAAGGACATGTATTGTAGGTGGGTTGAACCTGGATGGACACCAGGTGCGCCCCCAAAGCTGCTCTGTCAGTCCTCTCCCCATCTGGTCAGGGGAAAGAAAATAAAATGAAAGGCTAATGGGTTGAGATAAAGACCAGGGGAGATCACTCACTAATTACAGAGTTGACTTGGGGAAATTAGCTTAATTTATTGTCAGTCAAATCAGAGCAAGATAATAGCACAAACTAAATATTCAAACACTTTCCCTCCACCCCTTACTTCTTCCGAGGCTCAACTTCACTCCCAAATGCTCTACCTCTTCTCCACCAGGGGCACAGTGGGACAGGAAATGGGGTCAGTTCATCATATGTTGTCTCAGTTGCTCCTTCCTGCCCAGGAACAGGACTCCTCATGGTCTTCCCCGGCTCCAGCATGGGGTCCTTCCCATGGGAGACAGTCTCCTGTAGTGGTTGACCCTGGATGGATGCCCAGCACCCAACAAAGCCACTCTATCACTCTCCTCCGCAACTGGACAGGGGAGAGAAAATACGGTGAAAGGTTCATGGGTTTAGATAAGGACAAGGAGAGATCACTCACAAAATACCATCACGGGCAATGCAGACTCAGCTTGGGGATATTAATGGAATTTATTACTAACAAAATCAGAACATGACAATGAACAGTAAAATAAATCTTAAAAACATCTTCTTCCCACCTCTCCCTCCTTCCCAAGCTCTACCTCCTCCCCTCCAGCAGGGCAGGGAGATGGGAAATGGGTGTTACGATCAGTTCATCACAGGTTGTTCCTGCCACTGCTCAGGGAGAGAAGTCCTTCCCCTGCTCCAGTGTGGGGTCCCTCCCACTGGAGACAGTTTTCCATGAATTGCTCCAATGTGAGTCCTACCCACAGGCAAAAGTTCTCCATGAGCTGCTGCCACATGGGTCACTTTTCCATGAGGTGCAGTCCTTCAGGCACAGTCTGCTCCAATGTGGGTCCCCCCCAGGGTCACAAGTCCTACCAGGAACAGGTCGCTCCACCATGGGCTCCTTTCTCTACAGGTCTGCAGGTCCCTGCCAGGACCCTTCTCGAGTACAGGTTTCTCATGGGTTCACAGCTCTCTCTCAGGCATGCCCCTGCTCCAGCGTGGGTCTCCTCCTCGGGCTGCAGGTGGATCTCTGCTCCCCCATGGACCTCCATGGGCTGCAGGGGCACAGCTGCCCCACCATGGTCTGCACCATGTGCTGCAGGGGAATCTCAGCTCTGGTGCCTGGAGCACCTCCTGCCCCTCCTTCTCCACTGACCTTGGTCCTCTCACATGTTCTCACTCTGCTCTTCTCTGGTCACTATTACCTCTGCGCAATAACCTTTTTTTCCTTCTTATATATGTTATCACAGAAGTGTTACCACCACTCCTGAGTGGCTCGGCCTTGGCCAGCAGTGGGTCTGTCCTGGAGCTGGGTGGCATTGGCTCTATTGGACATGGAAGAAGTTTCTGGTAGCTTCTCACAGAAGCCACCCTGAGTTCCTGCCCCTCCCTCTAAAATCTTACCATGTAAGCCTAATACAACAAAATAAATAATAAGGAAGATAAATACTCAAACAGGGAAAGAGAAGTTATCAGTGAAGATAGTTGAGCGTGGGTCATATTAGATGCTATTTAGAGGTATTCCTGATTTCACATCCCCATTGGAATTGATGTAACTGAGATTTTTTAGAGTCTTCTGTTTAAAAACTCAAAGGTTGTTCAATTAGATTGTAAGGTTGGCTGTGCATTATTTTAGGTAATCCACAGGAATACTCATTTCTTAGGAGATCTTAATTTTAATGCTATCTCCTTGAGGGCCCTCTGATGTGATCAAAATCACGGCATGGGCAATGACTACAGGCTGTTACTGGGACCTAATGTGGGGAATGGGCCTCAGAGAGGGACTTTATGGAAGAGTTACAACATTGTGAGCGGCCAAGGAAGACAAAGAAAGCTGGAAGGGAAGAAGAAAACTCTTATAGTTTGAAACAACCCTTTAGGACTGTTTGAACTAAATTGGAATCTCTTTAACTTTTGTATAAACCCAGACTAGGAACACTAAAATGGAATAATATTTTCTGTTCAATTTTACTGTGATTAAACTTTTTAAGGACTTTAAAAAAGTAGTAGCTAATATTTGGAGGTCATATGTCTTTATTTCTTTTTAAGAAATGCATATATTTGAATATCTTAAACACAACAAAAAACCTGTTATTTTTCTTTCGAAGTTACACTCTATGCCAAAGCAAATCCCTCTGCAAAACAAGTTTTCCTTAACTGACCTCTGCTGCAGCTGTTTTGTTTTTGTTCTAAAAGAGGCTCTGTCAAGGACATTGCAGGTTCCAGATTTATTCTGTGATTCTTGCTTGCCCTGTGGTTCTCAACTGGCCATCCATTATTTATTGCAGCACGACATGTACCTTGATGACCCTGAACAATGGGCAGAGCCTACAAAACAAAGCAGGATCTCTGCTCAGAGGATTTTACAATCTTGGTGAAGTACTTTTGGAAGTTATGGAAAACAGCAGAGTTCTCATCATCACGACTGTACTGAGCCCAGCAGCCCTTGGGGTAAGGCATATTTTTCAGAGTTGCTGTACTTCCAAATCAGCTTCTCTGGCTAATGAACCACACTCTACAGGAAAACAGCTACTGTAGTCTTTGCTACTTTGCTATCACATCATTGCTGAGGTCTGAAGAGACCTCTGAAGGTCACCTAGCACATTCACCCTGCCCAAAGCAGGGTCTGCTAAAACAGATTGCTCAGGGTTATGCCCAGTTGGGTTTTGAGTGTATCCAAGGATTGAGACTTCTCATCTCTGGGCAGAATTCTTGGTCATCCTCACAGTGAAAATGTTTTTATTTTCCTGTGTGTCAATTTGTGCCCATTGCCTCTTGTCCTTTCAATGGGTATCACTGAGAAAAACCTGTTTCCCTTTACATTACAACTCCCGCACTCCCCGGTTAGGTATTTATACACATGGATAAAATTCTCTCTGAGTATTCTCTTCTCTGGATGAACAGTCCCTTCTCTTACAACCTCCTCTTATACATCAGATGCTCCAGTCTCTCACATGTCTTTGTGGTCCTTCACTGGACCTGCCCAAGGAAAAACAAGTCTCTTGTCCTGCGGAGCT